GGAAGAATTAATGCTGCAAAAATGTCCATTCTACCCAAAGTCATCTACAGATTCAGTGCAATCCCCATCAATAAACCAATGCTATTCTTTACAGAAGTAGAGAAAAACAATCCTAACATTCATGTGGAACAATAAAAGACTCTGAGTAGCCAAAGCAATCCTGAGCAAAAAATATAAAGCCAGAGGCATAACACTACCTGGCCTCAAATTATACTACAAAGCTATAGTAACCAAAACAAAATGGTACTGACATAAAAATAGAAACTTGGACCAATGGAACAGAATAGATAACCCAAATATCAACCCACATGCTTATAGCCAACTGGTCTTTGACAAAGACAACAAGGAATTACATTGAGGAAAAGACTGCCTCTTCAATAAATAGTGCTTGGAAAATTAGAAATCCATATGCAGAGGAATTAAACTCAACCTACACCTGCCACCATAAATCAAAATCAAGTCAAAATAGCTTAAAAACTTAAGTATAAGACCTGAAACTATAAAACTACTATATGAAAACATAGGAGAAACACTTCAGCACTTCAGGAAGTAAGATTGGCTAAAGACTTTATGAATAAGACCCCAAAAGCACAAGCAACAAAAGAAAAAATAAATAAGTGGGATTATATAAAACTAAAAAGCTTCTGTACAGCGAAGGAAACAATTCACATAGTGAAAAGACAACCTATACAATGGGAGAAAATATTTGTAAACTACATCTGACAGGGATTAATATCCAGAATATACAAGGAACTCAAAAAACTACACAGTAAAAAAACAAATAACCCTGTACTCCAATGTTTATTGCAGCACTGTTTACAATAGCCAAGAGTTGGAATCAGCCCAGATGTCCATCACCAGATGAGGGATAAGGAAACTGTGGTACATCTACACAATGGAATACCACTCTGCTATAAAAAAGAATAAAATACTACCATTTGCAACAACATGGATTGACTTAGAGAAAATTATATTAAGTCAGGCACAGAAAGAGAAATACCACATGTTCTCACTTACTTGTGGGAGCTAAAAATAAATAAATAAACACACAAACAAATAAAGAGAGGGGGAAGAAGAAACAACAATCACAAAAATTCCTTGAACTTGTTAAGACAAGTGAACAGATATGATGTTGGGGGAGGGGAGGGAAGAAAAGGAGGGGGGAAAGAGGAACGGGTAAAGGAACCTGAAAATCAACTACAATGTATACTGAGATGTTAAAATAAAAATAAAATAAAATAATAATAATTTAAAAAACAAATAGCCCAATTAAAAAAATGGGCAAGGGAGCTGAATAGACGTTTTTCAAAGGAAGACATATGAATGGCCAACAGACACATGAAAAAATGCTCAACATCACTAATCATCAGGGAAATGCAAATTAAAACCAAACTGAGATATCATCTCACCCCCTAATAAAAAAAGACTAAGAATAACAAGTGCTGGTGAGTATGCAGAGAAAGAGGAACTCTTCTCCACTGCTGGTGGGACTGTAAATTAGTAGAGACACTATAGAAAACAGCATGGAGGTTTCTCAAACAACTACAGATAGATCTACCATGTGGTCCAGCAAACCCACTTCTAGGTATATACCCAAAGGAATGGAAATCATCCTATTGAAGGGAAACCTGCATGCCCATGTTTACTGCAGCTCTATTTACAACAGCCTTGAAATGGAACCAACCTAAATGTCCATCAATGGACAACTAGATAAGGAAAACGTGGTATATATACACACTGGAATACTACTCAGCCATAGAAAGAATGAAATTTTGCCATTCACAGCAACATGGATAAGCTTGGAGAAAATTATATCAAGTGAAGTAAGCCAGGCACAGAGGGGAAAATACTGCATGTCCTCACTCATAAGTTGGTGCTGAGAGAGAAAGAAGGAAGGAAAGTCCACAGTGGTGCATTGGACTTGCAGAGAGAGAGAGAACAGACCTAGACTTGCATGGGTGGGATTGGGGGAGGGTGGTTGGGAGAGATTGGGCGAGGGACATGGGAAATAATTTGTGATTCGTGGTGTTGGGCATGCTGATAGTACTGACTTGATCATCATATCTTGGACACAGGTGCTGATGGTCAGCTCAGAATCCCATGAATATGTACAATCAATTAAAATATTAAAAAATAAAAGAAAATTCAGGCAGAAGGGACTTCATTTATCCCCCCTTTCTTCTGCAGTGGACAGCAAAGCCTTGATTAGGTTTTAAGAAAAAATAAAATAAAAAGAAAGTCAAGAAGGATGTTTCCTCTACTTTTCAAAGAGGGAATAACCTCCTGTCTCCCTTGAAGTTCTGATTTTATAGGGTGAGATGGAGGTGATTAGAGTGTTTATGTCACCTATTTGGGACAAGTGGATAACAAAGCAAGCGCTGTTTTATGTCTCTTAGAGGAGACTGATAATTTAATAAATGCAATTTAACTAGGTGTAAGTACTCATGCTGGGTCAAAGAAGAATGATCGTCTCTGGGCACATGGTCATAGAGATGAACAGCAAAGACCATTATGTTATATGAAGACGTCCATGCTTGTCTCCTTAAGGCAACTGTTTCTGAAAGCTTTGAAACTCAGAGGCATCAGAAAGAACACAACCATAACTTGTCATCTAGAAGTGGCTCTAAAGTAAAACTGAAATTTCTGATCTCCAAGAGTCTGAGGAGCTCTTCTAGGGAGAAATGAGAAAAAACATCTAGGTGCTGCTACCTCCAGCAAGAGAAGAGCTACTGAGACTTATTAATGGCAACGATGACCTCCCTGGAGGACCAATCTGAGTTTTCTGGTGGGTGTTCTTGAGAGCACCGATAGCAGCTTAACGGGGTGAGGAGGAGATGAGAACATTCACTGGAAGTCTTCTCCCCCGCCCCCTAAAAATAAAATCAATTTCTTTTTCCAGAATGAATAGTGAGTTTGGGGGTAAGAGGAGTCATTGGCATTAGTCAGAAAACAATTTTCCAATTTTAACTTTTCCATGTGAATATATAACCCATGTGATTGCAATAGTAAAACAATGTTACTTCTAAGTCTCAGGTTCTGTAATACGGATGGAAAAACAGAGTTATCTCCTTTGGGATAAGAGAAAATGAGTGTAGGATTGTCAGGAAAATGGAGGTGGTAGTATAGTCCCAAAACTTGGGAGCAAGAAACATTGCTTAGACATGTGTCAAAATACACATAATGTATTCAGAAAAAGAATAACTCTTTAATATAGTTTAACATTCAGTGGACCAGTAGGTCTTTTATATATACATATAAATAAACCTTTTTCTTCAAAAGACATTTGATTGACATGACTTAAGCTTAGTAGCTTATCTTATTTGAACTTCCATTTACCCATTATGCCTGTGTTATAGTCAATGTTATAAAAAGTTTTAGTTTAGTGTTTCTCAGACCGTATTAGACCTTGTTGACTTTGAAAAACATAAAAAGATATTTTTTTCACAATACAGAATTAGAAAAGACAAGGGGCCAGCCCGGTGGTGCACTGGATAGTGTGCTGCTTGGGAAGCGCGGCGGTGCTCCCGCCCGAGGGTTCGGATCCCACATACAGACCGGTTCCTGCTCACTGGCTGAGCGAGGCGCGGGAGCAGCGCCGAGGGTTGCGATTCCGTTGCCGGTCCCCGGTCCAGTACGGGGGCAACACTGAGGGTTGCGATCCGTTGCCGGACATGGAAAAAGACAAAAGACAAAAAAAAAAAAAAAAAAAAAAAAAAAA